GGCACACAGCTATATTTGACATCTGTCTGTCAAATTCAGAGGTCTCTCCTTGGATCAGCCCGCAATGTTCCCCCTGTAGAAGCCTGTCAGCTGCTTCTGTTCCCCTTTGCACTGTACTACTTTGTCTGTAGCTGCTACAACCATTAAGCTCCCACTTTCCCCAGTCTCTGTAAAAGGAGTATTTCCTTGGAATGCACAAAGTTGATGGTATCATGGTAAAAATGTGAAATCTATACCCACATTGTGCTTAGTAAAATATGTAATATCTATACAATACCGTTACTGAGGAGATGACGTTTCTGTACAATGTATAAATACTCCTTGCGCACATTATTTTGCCACTAACATTTTGACAAAAATGCCCGTTGCTTTTTATTTTCCTCAGCTATACTGACTTCTCAGAGCCTGAATATAGTTTGGTTTAATTCTTGCCTTAGTTTTGCTAAAAACCTCAGTGGTGACAGCAGATTAACACGAAGGATCCCTTTTAATTGTCAGGTGAGAATCTGAAGTTTGATTGATATTTACCAAAATTTTCATTTTAATTTTGTTAACTTGAGGAGCCCGGTATAGGATTCACTTTAAAAAAGGTGCACCCGCAATACCATAATGGGAGGTGCAGTTGAATGGAGTCACGTTTTAAGCGTGAAAAATGGTTCAATCTTAAAAAGTCCATGCTGGGGTCCAGACATGAAGTGTCCCATGTTAGTGTGCATCACTGGACTTAGAAAAATACAATATTGCTTTCTTTCTCTGTTTCTGAAATCAGAGACTGCATATTGTTGTCAATGCCAGAAGGAACAGAGACTAGATCTTGGTTTAAATCATATATATTTAAAGACTCTTTTCCCCCAGATGTATGTATTAATTGGGAAACAAACTGGGGGGGGAAAAAAATCCTTTGAAATAAACCAGATTCCTAATGGAATAAGAAAACTCCCTCCAGTGCATTTTCTCCCTCTGTGTCAGCTTTTATAGCTCTGTTTCTGGCATGCATCTTTTGAGATTTCTTTAAAGATTGTTAAGAAATTTTCTCTCACATCAACAAACAATTTTCAGAGCCCAAGCAAAGCTTTAATAAAAAGCATCTTGCACAGAAGATCGGTAACTGGGGAGGGAGAGGGGCAAAAGAGGTTGTAGGGAGGGGAGCACAGGGCTGTGTAATTTGTTCTTTATTTTCTAAGATCACCAAAATGTAAAGCTGAATTTCAGGCTTGTAAACAACTGGTTTTTTTCAGGAAAAGAAATGCTTGTATAGGGCATGTGTGTGGAAAGATGTGTATTGAGAACTGCGATCGGTAACTTCATTTGCACTTGCAGGGTTGCGTTTATTAATGTCACATTAATGTCTCAGACTGACTCAGCCTCTTACCTAGCACTCAGCAAGTGGTGAAGAACAAAATTTGAAGGAAACCCTTAGAGGTTCAGATAGTGCTATAGGAAGTTCCTCCCAACAATACTTGAAAAGCCTGGAAAATGGATAGTAGACCAAGTGTTTTGCCGAAGCTTTAAATGCTGGCAAAAAGCTTTCACAGATTTACTGGCAAAAAGCTCCTGGACTCACCTGCTATTTTTTTCTCTCCACCTTAGGGGTGTACAACAAACAGTAAGCAGGAATACTTCTGTACAGAATTCAGCTGAGCTACCAGCAAAATTCCTGCCTGAGAGCACATTGCATTGCAGGCTCATCAGACCAGTAATGCTCTCTCAACTCTCTTGCTTAAACATAATGATAACACTACAGGGTTTTTCCAAAATACTTTGGGGTAGGGAGACAGAGTGCGTGCATACATATGTGTATATGTCTGCCTGGAAGTGCGTGCCCCAAAGGTGGAGGGAGCAAGTTTCACATGACACACCTTCAGGACTGAAGGTAAAGGAAATACAGGATGCACATCTGGAACTGCTATACTAATGAGGGAATTAAGCAAGCACAGAGCATACCCATAAAACGGAAGGTCAAACTTTTTTTAGCTCAAGGTCTAAGTTAAAAAACACATTTTGGTAATTCATTATGCACCCAGAATGTCTAAGGTATTGATTATTCACAGTGTGCCCAGGAGCGATGAAGGAATCCCACTTTTGTTCCTAAAGGAGTGGAAATTACCTGTATTCGCTTGGTGCTTTGATCACCCGGGGGGCAGGATGCTTTTTTATAATTAAGTAGGAATGGAGAGTAGGGAAGAATGTAACCCTGCAGAGATTTTTAGGTGTTTTCAACAACAATTGACTAAAAAAGTATGTTTTCAAAACATGCTGGGAGACTGCCTTACAGGAGGTAATCATTCCCACAGTACTAAAAATTGTTCATGGCAGATGTTAAAAAAAAAGAAAGGTTTTGCTTTTTATTTTAGTTCCCTCTATTTTGTTGTGTAGAAACAGGTGTTTGTTCTGTGGGTTTTATTTATACAATTTTGTTTTCCCTTTTTGTGCTGGTTTGTGTAAAATCAAACAGCCAACAACCAAACAAACAAAAAACCCAAAGCACATGAAAAACTAAAAGGAAAAGAGAGAAATTCACAATACCAAATATGTGTAGTACTGGAAGATAGATCCAGCACTTGAAAAAATGTGTATTCTTTTATATTAGGAGCACCCTTGTCTTAAAATCTCAAGAAAAGAGCAGAAAGGCTCCAAGTCTGCCACATCTTCTGCACAGGTTTAACTTCAGGCACTGTCATTGGGTTTGGTGGTAATGTGAGGGAGGTCAAACATATGGTAAGTCCTCCCAAAAATTAATCTAGGGGACTGTTGCTTAAGTGGTCTGTGGAGTCGGTGCTTGTCTGCAGGAGCCTGGCTCCTGGTGGCGTTTTGGGTTTTTTCTCTCCAGCTGTAAATCTCATTTTTAAAATACCAGAGTATACCAGACGCTTTCCAAATAACAATCCTCGATGCAATTATTTGCAATAGCTGCTGGGGGGTATTAGGAAGTCTCAAAGGGAAGCAGAGTGTCTGCAAAACCCACTCTGCCTTAAGATATGGTTCTTGCTCAAAAATACACAAATCCCTGGGTTAGGTCCATGTAGCCATAGCATAGCCTCAGTAGCCTTGAAGAAAATGTTTTTCCTGTCACCTGCTGAAATACTGAGTTTCTGTGTAAGTAGAACAAGATACAGAAGAGGAAAAGGGAAGGAGCCGCGTAGCGTAAGTTTTTCCTTCACAGTGTGGGATGATGATTTTGATCTCTCTGGAACTGAACTAGGCAATCTTGGGCAAGCTGTTGGACCTCATGTCTTGGGTTCTTGAGCTACATAGTTGTGCCTCTCTCCCTTGCAGACATCCTGTGAAGATGCAGGTCTGTGGGTGCTACTGGTGTAGCTCGTGCGATCGGAGCATGCCTGTGCTGGGCTAAGTAAAAGCTTGATGGTGAAATCCATGTGTAATACACTGATCAAATTAATCTAGAAAGTACTTAATTTAAAAACTCTGCCTAAACCCAGATTTTGGCAGGTTTGTTGAATGCATTTCCGGTTCTACCCTGCTTAGCCCATATCTCTGCTGTCACAGCCACAGAGCTGTAGAGTTGGTGTTACTTAAGGAGATGGCTTTGCACGCTTCCCTGAAACATCTGGACACTGAAGTGATAGCTGAAGATGTGACATGGAGGAAAGCTTGGTGCTCTAAACCCACTGTTCTTACTCCATCCGTGATACTTGTTACTCTGCTGGGCACTAAACTCTGGTTCCTGTATTCACCTCTGGACGGTGCTTTCCTTCATAAAGAATTTCTGTTGAGGTCAGTACTGAGAGATCAGAGATGGAAGTAGCGTGCTCAGCAGCAGCACTGATCTCTCATACACTGGTTGCATCTTGTGTAGCGTACTGCTGAAATATCTCAGGGTCTCCAAATGTGTTGCCCATGACATTTGCTTGACTATCAAAATTATATTCTAGCTGTCTTCCAGTCTTTTACTTGCTTTGCTTGGAGAGCTGGGAGCAGGAGTGGGAATGACTCGTAGGCAGCAATGTCAGCACAGGGGAACAACAGTTGAAATAATCTTACAGCAAAGGCAACCTTTCTTAGTAGCAGAGGCCCTTTATTTCTGTGCCTGCTTTTTGTCAGTAAAATGAAGGTAAAGAAGTAGCAAATTGTTTTGTGGGGGGTTTTGGGGGTTGACTTCTTCCAGGGTGACAATTAGCCCTAGCAAAAACAGCGTGTAAGTGTTGTGCAACAGCTCTGTAACGGGCTTCCAGGCATGCTGTTTCTTTGTCACTTACTTTTCTGGGCTCGTTTTTTCAAACCCAGCTGAAGTGTCCTCTAGTCCATTGGAAAGGAGCACCTTCTGTGTGCACATGAAGAGGCACTGCCAACCCCCCTTCAAGAACTAGTCACTGGGCTCTTGGTTGAAATGCTGAGTCCCAGTTTGCGTGAATGAAAAATGAATGTCTTTAATGACACAATGAAAATAAGCGTACGGGGTTGTGCTTTTCCCATCTGCCCAGGCCTGGTGAAGGAAGTAGCATTTGCCTTGTGAGCTATTCTCTGTCCTCCCACCGGATGGCTGAAGGAGCCGAGAGGCAAAGGGCCACAGTATTCCTCCCCTACCAGCTCACAGCTGCCGAGGGAGTGCCAAGGTTATGGGCAGTTACACTCTGTCAAAAAAGCCTGTGATTCAAATGTTCTTATTTCTTGCAATGTTTAGTTGAGAGCATAAAGAATTAAAATCCCTGGACTTCCATTGCCATCTCCTCTGCATTACAGGGCTCAGACCTGCAGCCCTTCCTTTGCTAGCATGGCTCTGACAGTGCAGCCGGGGGGGCATCTCTGTCATGTACCCAACACTGAGGTGAACAGTGTTTTCAGAGGATACTCTAAGACAGATTTTGAAATCTGTGTTTCCTCACTCTCACTGGTAAAAACGACTACCTGACCCCCACAAACCTTGAAGCCCATCATGCTCCATTAACAATCGGGCCAGTGGGGTGCTGTGCTGTGCACCGTCCACCACTCTGCGTCCGCCCACCGCTTACAGAAATCCTGTGTTTTGTCTTTCAGACTCCGACCTGAGCATGCGGACGCTCAGCACACCCAGTCCAGCATTAATATTTCCACCAAATTCCCCCGGTTTCCAGAATGGCAGAGGGTCGTCGACGTCTTCATCCTCAGTCACTGGGGAAACTGTTGCCATGGTCCACTCGCCACCTCCAACCCGTCTCACTCATCCTCTCATCCGGCTGGCGTCCAAGCACCAGAAGGAACAGGCCAACATAGACCGGCTGCCCGACCACTCCATGGTCCAGATATTCTCCTTCCTGCCCACCAACCAGCTGTGCCGCTGTGCCCGTGTGTGCCGACGCTGGTATAACCTTGCCTGGGACCCCCGACTTTGGAGGACTATTCGCCTGACCGGCGAGACAATCAACGTCGACAGGGCTCTTAAAGTGCTGACCCGGAGGCTTTGTCAGGATACACCCAACGTATGTCTCATGTTGGAGACGGTAATTGTTAGTGGCTGCAGGCGGCTCACAGACAGAGGACTCTACACCATTGCCCAGTGCTGTCCAGAACTGAGGAGGCTGGAGGTGTCTGGCTGTTACAACATCTCTAATGAGGCGGTCTTTGATGTCGTGTCACTGTGCCCAAACCTGGAACACCTGGATGTGTCAGGTAACAGGACATATTTCAATACGGATGGCTCTGATTCTAAAAGCCTCGTGCTTGTCACACCCCTGGCCCCACAGCTCCACAGTTTCCCTCTCTGTGTTGCCTTCTGAAGTAGGAATGCCAACCTCCTAACGCAGCACCGCTGAGATGGGCACCGCTAGAATCTCACTGCCCCAGATGCCAGCAGCACCTCGTGAGCGGCCAGGCCTCCTCCCATGGAGATGAGCTGGCAGAGCTGGCCTGTTCAAATAGCACGAGTACTTTTTATAGATTTTTGCACAAAGCACCCTTAGAAGAGCCCACGTTGCAGTCAGTGCTAAATCATATGGTGAAGGCTAGTTACTTTGCAAAACTTGTTTTATTTTTCCATAAATATGTATAGTTTATATGTAGATTATATATATAATGTATAGATCTGTAATGTGATAAGTGACTTGAGGAGGCACTCAGAACCAGTGCTAGGCTTTTGTCTGGTTATAAATATCAAATGTCATCCTTAGTGAAACTTCAAGGTCCCCTTGTTTCCGTTGCTATTTTAATGAGACTTAGCTAGCTTGGACCTGTTTGTTTGGTTTTTTAATACTGCATATGTCTGCTTACCAGCTTTCTGCTTTTCCTTTCACCCAGTTACAATGTATCACTGCAGCTCTTTAGATCAGCAGAAATATTTTAGACAATTATCCTCAGACCTGCTCGGGGGAAACGAGACGTTTTTTCACAAGGTCAACCACACCAAATTTCCCTTCTGCAAATAGGTTGGCATTGAATAGAAAGGATGTAGCCAAGCAGAGCACTGAAGTATATTTGATGTTCAATACTTATTTTGTGATCTCACTTGTTATCAGCCTAATGTTGTTATTAATTAGGTGGACCAGATTTGCTATTGCAGAGGTGCTAATGGCAACAAGCAGGACGAAGTGGGGATAGGAAGCAATGCTACTGAGTCACTGGTACCCAGATAAACTCATTTTTCCAAGGCTGCCTATCTGTTGTACATTGATTTGCTTTCTTTTTTCTGCCGTTTATTTTTTTCTAACTGATTTATCCAACCCTTTCACCTAATATTCCTAGGATGGCAGAATGCCATGGAAAGCATCAAAACAAATAGCACCAAATCAGAATTATTCACTTTTTGTGATTGCTCTCTGAAATCGCCAGGTGATAAGGGGTGTCTGTGGGACTCCATGGGAGCCCTGTCCCAGGGAGTCTTTTGGCAATGACCTTGCTTAGGAATTATTTATTGTCGGTACATACTGACATTAGTTCTGGCTTGCTAACCACACACTCAGGTTGAAGCATCTCCAACATCAGGAGAAAATGTATGTGGTGCCTGTGTGATTTAGACCTGGAGCTACATATCACTCTGAAGGCTGGCTGTATCTCTGGCATATTTATGCTTTTCTTACTACATCCTCTAGGGTGGTATGGGGAGCTGAGCGGCTCAAGTGTTGTGGGCCTGGAGAGACAGGACGCGTAGAATCACTGAGATGGGGGTGAAGTGCCTGGGCAGAGCAGTCTGTTAGCTGACACCCGGAGTGCCCTTGGGGGCTAGCGGCTGGCTGAAAATGCTGTGGTCCACAGCTCCTACTGACGGATATGCCATAGGCCGAAGCTGACTTTTTCAAAAGCAGGGAAAATGAAAAGATGACACCAGATCTTGAAACAGGTTCTTTTGGGGTCTGTCTTCATTTGTGGTTTCCCCAAGCCTGTTACTTTCAGACCTAGAAGATGGTGTCTGTCCCTAAGAGCTCATCTCTTCGGTCCGAAGTCTGTAGAGGACAAGTAAAATAACTGTCTTCCTTGAATTTTGTCTCATCAATGGAACAGGAAAGTAATTTTAATCTCACATTTTTCTAAATTGTCCTTTCTTTTTGGAGCAGGTGAGGGAAAAATTCTGGGTTTGCACATGCTCACAAGTCAGGGTGTTTGGGTTCAGGCATGGGTTTTGCTTCATGTGCCTGCATATGAATTGAGGATCATTGATCTCTGGGGTCTTGTTTTGAGTCCACTTTTTTCTTTCTGATGAAGGTAATTTTGGATCATGTTTTGGAAGCAGGATTCCATTTTCCCCTCCTTCTGGCTGTAGCTAGGAGGACAAGGCTTGCACCTACACACTTAAGCAATTCTCAGGACTGGAGTAGTTCACTGGTTTTGTTTCATACTGAGCAAGAGAAGTTGGGTACATGCGCTGGGGGACAACGCTATGCTTGTAGCTTGTAGCTACTTAACTAAAACCCAGTTCACAGTTGTACATCTAGCTGAATCCCTCTCCCCCTTAGATGGTTACTTGGCAGCAATAACATACCAAAATCTTTAACGTCAAAACCAGATGTTCACATTAACTTTAAGAGTTTTCCACAATGTAAGTTCTGTCACTCTCAGCATCCACTTTGTGGGCAGGTCTGAGATATCTCTAGAAGTTAGTTGAGCTTGACTGCATGTTATTATCTAACATGCTAGCCAACATTTTTTTCAATCTGTTTGGAGGTTTCTCCTCCCTTTTAAAAATCAGTTATATTTACTTTATGGAAAATCATGTTGCAAGAGCTTTGTTTTTACATTTTTTACTATTTAGGACAGAAAAATTGTTGCAGACCCAGGAACCTGTCATTTTGCCTAAAAATCAGGCAGTTCTGTGTCAACATGGACTCTTTTTCTGGTGAAACCATTTGAATACCTTTCCCATGAAAAATTTTAGTGTAGCCAAAGTAACTAGACAAGGTGATGCTGAGCTTCTCAAAACAGTGATTACACACTGATATTTGTGACTCCAACCCTGCTATAAGACTTCTGACCCATTCACTTTCTAATTGTGGTCATTAAAGCATTCCCTTTCTTGGATCCTTAGCAGACAGAAGGTTCTCCTTGGCCTCATGGACCCTTCATTCTCACTTAGCCAGATTTTAAAACTGAATTCTGGTCAACATGTGAAATATCCGGACTGACTCCTTAATCCAGCAGCCTCCTTGGGGAAACGCAATAGCAACAGCTACGTGAGGTCCAGCAGAACCCTATGTCTAGGTGCCAGCTTCTTCTGTGGAAACCCAGCTCAAGGATGGGGACTACTGAGGTGCATTTTTCAGTACTTACTCCATAGAACATTTTAGAAGTGAAATTTTTACAGCATTAGTATTGTACCGCTTCCCTTTAGAAAAATCACTTTGCATTACTGAGCGTGTATGTAGTACTTATTTGAAGGCAAATGTATTTCCAAAGATTACACCATAACATAGATGGGTCTGCAACACAGTCTGAAGAAGAAATAGTAGCATTCAGTTTTAAGATGATGATGTTCATTGAATAAAGTGCTTTGCTTTAATGTCCCAGAGCTTCTGCATGACCTGTGGACAATTTGCCCATTTCATTGTGTGAAGCCTAAGGTAAAATTTGCAACTGTTTAAATAATTTTTAAGCCTAAATTAAAAATCCAGCTCCGAATTCAAATGAATGTAGAAATCCAGTTGCAGGAGGCAAACTGTTTCAAGTCCATATCCCATGTTTCTTAGGCATTTCCGTGAGTCCACTGGATTATCTCAAGGGATTTTTTTGTTTGTTTTTGGTTTTAAGAGCTGAAGCATGTTTATACCTTCCACTAAGGCTCTGAATGAGAACCTGTTGTATCAAGCGGTATGGGTTTGAGTTATTCAAGTTTTTGAGGTGGTCTCCATACGTTATCATGCTCTTTACTTCCAAAGTACAGGATTTGTGCAGCATTTCTGATGCATGGAACTCTAAGGTCATCATCCTAACTTTTCTGGCTTTTCATGGGTCACTTCGTCCCCGTTGGCCAGTGTTTCAGTAACACAGACAAGCTCTTTTTAATCCCTGCCTGAGGGCACCTCTTTAGGCATAAACTGCAGAATTTGTCTGAGTAGACATTTACAGCTAAAATTGTTGGGCCTTGATCGCCACCAGGTCAACCTTCCCTTCTTCCTTGCAGCTGTTCCTAGCTGTGCTAATGCAGTGTGTCTAGGTGAACTTGGCACAGATAAGAGTTTCCCTTCAGGAGCCTGAGACTGCCAGTTTACAGTGCAGCAGAAACAGCACTTTCCAACAAAAAGCTTTCATTCACCACCATGCACAGAGTGGAGGTTAAAAATGGGGGAAGCCTGTGAGTGTGTTTTTCCCTTTAATCTAGCTCTTTATCTTTTCTTGCAAGGTCTGGCGTTTCTCCTCTCGTCTAGTTACCTCCTTTTATGGCCACACTTTCCCGCTTGAAACAGTCCTTTTCTGCTTCTGTCCATGTCCTCACCAGTCTGTTGACTCCTGCTGACTCTCCCCATTCTCCTTAGGTTACCCAAATCTCCACCCTTCTGCAAGCACATAGTCTTGGCATAGTTTTGCATCCTTCCCACATTGCAGGCTTGGGGCTGGATTCACATCTGTTCTCCAAATGCTTTTTGGAAGGTGGGGTGGGGTTTGCCTTTTTTATAATGGGTTTGGATGGTGAAAGAGCCTCTGATGTTGGTTTACAAACTCAGCCAGGCAGCAATGAGACTGCCTCTGATCAAAAAGCTGCACTGGTTGTCATGTAGCACCATTTTGTCAAATTGTCACTGGTTTTGTATTACAGTAGCAGATCATAGACTGTCCCTAGATAAACCTACGACCATCATTTTACATTTGGGATACGGGCAAAATCGGTCTATCACTTTGCTGCTGCTCAAAATCCCAGAGCAACCTCGCTGACTCCAGTGGAGGTTATCATTTCCTCTGGTGTAAGGACACATCACAGCAAATCCGGGCTAGTCAGTCAGGATGATTCTGCTCTTGCAACCTGAAGATATCTTCATCACATCCAGCACACAATTTCATGCCCACCTTTCTGGTCTTCCTGTGTGATTTGTTTTCACTGCTTGCTTAAATTCGCTGTGTTTTTCCACTTAGGCTGCTCCAAAGTAACATGCATCAGCTTGACTCGCGAAGCCTCCATCAAGCTGTCTCCCTTACACGGGAAACAAATCTCCATTCGCTACTTGGACATGACAGACTGCTTCGTCCTGGAGGACGAAGGACTGCACACCATTGCCGCTCACTGCACTCAACTGACCCACCTGTACCTGCGCCGCTGTGTCCGCATCACCGACGAGGGTCTCCGTTACCTGATGATTTACTGCACGTCCATTAAGGAACTGAGCGTGAGCGACTGTCGCTTTGTCAGTGACTTCGGCATGCGGGAGATTGCCAAGCTGGAGTCGCGCCTCCGATACCTTAGCATCGCTCACTGCGGCCGGATCACAGACGTGGGCATCCGTTACATAGCCAAATACTGCAGCAAGCTGCGCTACCTCAACGCGCGGGGCTGCGAGGGCATCACGGACCACGGTGTGGAGTACCTCGCCAAAAATTGCACAAAACTCAAATCGCTAGATATTGGAAAGTGCCCTCTGGTCTCAGACACCGGCCTGGAGTTTCTAGCCCTCAACTGCTTCAACCTGAAGCGCCTGAGCCTGAAATCATGTGAGAGCATCACTGGGCAGGGCCTGCAGATTGTAGCTGCCAACTGCTTCGACCTGCAGATGTTGAATGTGCAGGACTGCGATGTTTCTGTGGATGCTCTGCGATTTGTTAAACGACATTGCAAGCGCTGTATTATAGAGCACACCAACCCTGCCTTCTTCTGAAAGGGCACCCCACACCTGTCATTACAATGCAGTATTACAAACACTGATGTATAAACACACGCTCCCGTACTCAGTAAGGCTGTCTTTTCTATAGCTCACGGGAGTCAGCTTTTCTTGTATGTCATGGGTGAGGGGGGTTTCTAGAGGACTATTTTGTTTGCTTTTTGTATGATCACTTTTTAAGGTGTGGTGGGTCTCCATGGAGAGGCTGCCTTAATGCAAAAGCAATGAGTGCTCAGCATCCCCAGTGGGGTGCCATTTCCATAACAGCCATGATCTTGTCCCAGGCTACGGTAGCTACCTCCAAAGGAAATAGCACATAATCCCTCCTTTGGAAATGCTACTAAGCTGTATCAAATACATCTGAATTCCAGCTGTGCTCATGAAGCTGACTATGCAATATGTGTCTGTGTTCCCCAACTTCCTCCAATATGGCTGATAAAGCATCCCCTTGTCTCCAAGTAGTTTCTCTTTGGTAGTCATCCATTGCAATCCCTCAGGAAATACTGGGTAATGTTCTTAACCATACTTGACTGAGGCAGAATAAGACCTGCTGGCCATTGCCGAGCACTCTGCTGAGTGAATCTGGAGATTGTGCCCATGCATGGATTCTCTTGGAAAGCCCACTTCCAGGTCACTCATGCATCATCCCTACTTGCCTTCATTTCTAAATCAGCCCTCTTCTGCATGTGTAGTACCACCTTCTGGTAGCAGATAGGGCCTTCTGGGTCTGATAAGCAGTGACATATTCACCTGAGTGAAGGAAAACAGATGAGATATTGGTGGCCTGGCAAAGGGAAAAGGCAGCAAATCAGCCTGAGAAGCTGCTGTAATTCTGCAGCAAGCTGAGACAGCACTGTAGTATACTGGGGACTCCTGGAGGTGTTGCGGAGCAGCTTGCACAGAGCAGTCCCAGTTGCTGTGCTGTGTGGCTGTCACCAGAAAGTCTGTCTTTGGTCCTTTGCTGTATCTCCGCAGCAGCCGTGGCACCGCTGCAGTTGACACTCCCTGAGCAAACCAGGCACGTGCGTTGAGGTAAATTCAGTGTGTGCCTTCATAAGCATAGAAACCCGACCCTTTTCTGTGGCCTTCCAGTTCAAAGGATAGATGGCTGATCTCGAGACTTCAAAGACCCTAGCCTGATGTTAGATAACAGCCCTGGGGACGGAGGGGCCTAGAGTGTTATTCGCATTGGATTTAGATTTTGCGAAGCCTTGTCTGTGTATGTTCCCTTAGGCTGCAGAAACAGCTGCTGTTCAACAAGGGATTGAAACGCCAGTGTTGCCCTGTAGCACTGGGAGCCCCTTGTACTCTCCCAGTCACTCTTGCTCACACAAGAGCAAGAGTGGTCTGGACGTTCCCCCATCTTGTTGCTTCCTTCCCCAGAGCGTGTGGTCGTTTCATGGTTACTTTCTTCACAATTTTCTGGCAGCCATTTCTCTGCATTTTTACATGTAATGCTCAGATTTGAAAGCCAGACACGTTCGGGGAGATGATATTTTCAGGCAGGCCCCCTGCGCCTGACTGACAGGTGAATTCATACGTTCAGCTCAAACGCTATAAACGTCTCGGTAGAGAACATAAGAAGGGAAGCACCGTGTCTGGTTTTCATAAGCGGTAGTTCCATCATCTCCAGACAACACTAATAAAATCATTGATATGAAGTGAAAATCCATATGCTCAAGAAAAATACATAACTGCTGAGGAAATACTTGTAGCAATGCTCTCTCAAATTACAAAAAAACAATGGTTTGGACATGTCCCTGCAGAGGGAACTTGTCCTACTGCTGCAAAAATTCCTGTAACTTATGTATGTTCCTCCACATTTGAGTTTCTTAATATACAGGATGTCATCAGCTCAGAATTATAAATCAGATTTTACTAAAGCAAAGAGGGCCATGGAAAATGAATTTGTCATTGCTACTATTACTGGTCAGTGACTAATATGGGGTGATACCATCCTTTGCCCAGTTAATAGCACTTTGGTTTTCCTTTCTGTATTTTTTAAATTAGACATTCTTCTCCAGCAAGTAGTACAGTATATCTTATCCGAGCCAGCTATACTCTCTGTTTGTCCTTTCTCTCAAAATGGCCCCAAGGATAGTTAAATGTTAAGCCCATTCCTGAGGATCGTGGGATTTTGAGCCATTTGCACTCATGAAATATAAGGCCTCATTAGTAACATTTAACTGTTTATTAAAAAAAAAAAACAGCTACTTTTCTGGCTATGCTAAATTGAGTGAATAGTGCTACATGGTTTTTAAGGTTTCTAATGTTTAAATTGGCCTGTACTGTACAAATCTCACTATAAAGCCTTAATTTGCTACCAAGAAATAAAGCAATATATTGGTAACTGATGAGCGTGCATTGTCATTTGCACTAATTTATTAACTTCTGGTGAAAAAGAGAAGATTAAATACATGTAAAACTTTTATTGAAAGTTAAGTGAATGAGCACATCAGCACATCAAGTAGGTCGATGACTACATTAAAAAAGAGAAAGAAATATTTGTTAATAGATTATGACCCTGCCTACCTGTCTCTTTAAATTTTGATTTTCCTTATGTGGTTCTTCTTGACCGTGAAACATAATCAGTAACTGGAAGTGTAAGTAAAAGAAAAAAACAGTACATGAAAAGCACGTGTATAAAAATTTCAGGCGGGCCTCTGCATTGGTTTAAAGGCAAGTTAATATGTTTAATGTGAAAAGTAAAATGGGATGACTGAATGGGTAGAGTGCAGTGTTGCCTTTTGAATGCTCTAAAAAACCCACTCTGGGGGGCACTGGTGGAAAATGAGTAAAGGTTAATTTTTCAAAGCCAAACACTTTCAACTATATAGCCTTACTTGATATGAGTTGGCACTCTGAGACTGCTACATATTTCAGGAAAACTTGAGTTTAACTTACTGATACAGCGTGCCTGTTTTGACTTTTAACCTTTTTCCTACGTCTACTTGCAAAATGACACAACCAGAAAAGACACTGAAATAGCTCATGTGGGGCTGAGTTTGCTGGAAAGGTTGCAACATGTGACTGATGCGCCTTCGTTCCAGCGTGGGGCTGGCAAAGACTAGAAATTTCCTGACCGAAAACATTGTTGATTCTTGAACCATAAAATTCGGGCTCAGGCACCGAGGCTTCTTCTGCTCTGCAAAAGCATGTGGTGATCTCATCAAAGAAAGCAGCAATGAAGCACATAGGTCAGGCTGGCATGTTGCTTATGTCTTTGCAATAACTTGCGCCATGTAGAGAGAAGTCTCTCAGAAAATGTGCACCTAAACTACCATGCACTTGTGATTACAGCCAAAGCTCTGTATCCAGGTATTCAGTCTCCTCAATTCCTTTGGCTTTCGTAAAAAGCAGAACCATATTTTCCCCATTAGCAGCATGAGACTGATGGGAAGGGCGATACTGTTGCCTTTTTGAGCTATGTTCATCTGGCTTCCTACAAAATGCAAAACAGCTTCCGCTGGACATCTTGGGCTCAGAACCATGGTCCAGACTGTAACCTTCAGCAGTGGCTTACGTGGTTTCTGAAAACTTCTAGCCTTTGAACTGGAAAATTAAAAAGCTAGTAAAAGATCTAATTTTAGCACTAGGCTTGAAGCAGGTCCAAACTCTCATTAAAAAGAAATGTAGTGACCATTTGGACTGCAGCCTGGCTGCCCCACGGCTGCCAGTGTTCGTTTAAAGGGGACAAGTTCTCTGACAGAGCTGGTGCATGGCTCCTCCTCCCTGTGTGCCGCAGGAAAGTAACCTGCCCTCGTTTTTTTATAATTTTGTCAATTTAGCTATTCGTGCTGAAACTTCCCATGCTGGGCTTTGAAAATGTTGCTTGAAATGGTTCATCTGGTTCCGTAAATAAAGCTAGGAGGAAATGTCATTTTGCTCATGTTAAACTCCTGGTGACCTTTCCTTTGAAAACGGTTCATTGCTCTTCATCTCCTCTAAAGGCCGTCAGAGTGAAAGTGTGAGCCTAGCCAGGAGGTCAGCTTTGGGACAAGGATGTGTCTTACTGATCTCCCAGTTAAAATTCACCTAAATTTAACTACATTAATTGCATGACTTTGAACATCTCCAACTCCATGACTAGGGAGAAAAGGGCACGCTCAGATCTTTTGGACCTGGTAATCTGGCGAGGCTGAGATTGGGCAAAGCCGAGAGGTGTTTATCACTCTGGCAGCGTGAAGGAGGAAATTACTTGAATTACATGGAAGCTGCCTGGAACATCAGGGCAGGTTTGAAAGATGGGGGTTTGAGAACTGGGGCAAGAAGAAGGATGAAGGAAATTTCCTGGGCAAGGTGGACTGTGACTGACACAAGAAGAGACTGAATGATTTTTAGCAAAGAAACTGGGGCTAAGAGGGGTGGGTTTGTATGACTTGTTGAGCAGGGAGAGTTGGGCCAGAGAAAGTGTAAGTACTGAAGAATGAAGTTTGGGGCAGGAGCAGAAATGTGAAGAAAATTAACTGACCACCATGTAAATGCAGTGCACTCCCTTGGTGAAGGCTCTGAGGAAAGCTGACAGTTTCGGTGAGGACGCCTCCAGTTTGAAACAGCCTTTCAAACATGAAATAGGAATTTTGCATTTAATGCATTCAATATCTGCCCTTTTTTGTATTTTGTGAAGCCAGAAAGTCTTTACAGGCAGAACTTGTGCCTTTGCCAGCAAACTTACACAGAGGCCCGAGGCATTGCCAACCTCAGCATCTCATTCGTGCCTTTACACCTCTGCGTGAGGTAGTCTGTCGAGAACAAGGCAAGGCGGGTTTGTAACACCTCTTCTGCCTTTTGCGTTGTATTTCAGCAGCACCAGCTGCTCCACTTTGCTAAGGTGCAGGCGTTGGTGTGGAGCCAAATTTGTGCCCTTTCAATGACCCTCAAAGGGCATCGCAATCATAGGTTCAAGTTACTGCCAGGCAGCAGACATCAGAATTCAAACTTTGCTTAAGAAAAATACATTTGACTGAACAGCATTACTGCGTACTATTAAATAGATT